ACACCTATGTCCCAGAACAGTCCAGGCAGCCCTGGAAATACAGAGTGAGAGTAATTAAATCTGTAGTCACAACAAGAGACACAACAAACTCCAAATAATCTCATTCAGCTACTCTGGCTATAGTGAGAAAAGCTAAATTTACCTACTCCTAGCACCTATCTTGGAGGGTACTACATAAGGAGAGTCCCTCTTACATCATAGTCCCTCATGCGAACCCTGATAAGGGTAGACTCTGATGGGCTCAAGTTTATTTGAAATTTCTTTGCTTTGTTTTACTGAAATTCTTTCTCTATTGTTCTGAATTATATCACGAAAAAAGCTCCACGTAAAACATATTCATTGCTTTAAAAAACTGATTTTTTTTTGGCCCAAGAACATTTTTAAAATATACGATATAGCCCTCATACTGATATCTTTGGAGACCCCTGTTTTAGATAGTTCTCCATGGAACAAAAGATTGGAAGAATGTGTTCTCTTTTCCAGTTTCAGTAACAATTTAAAATTTATAGACATTTTTCCCATATTTTTTACCCCCCCATGACAATAGTCAGCATCACATACAGAGGGTTCACCTCCCCAGCCACTGACAGCAATAAAAACCTGATGGAGGTCCTAACCTTTCCACATTTATTTTTTAGATGCACTTTCGGATAAACTGAGAACATGCAGATGTTACAGCAAATTATTTGCATATAAAAGAAACATGATCCCACTAACACCTATTTTAGAATGTAATGACTTCTATTTTATAAATGATAATGAACAAAAGTTTACCATAAGCAAACGAAGAAATGATTTTTAATAAGTTTCCAAAAATATAACATTAGAAACGCATTACGGGTGAAATGGGATTGTTCACGCTTTCAAAGAGAATGAAAGCTATTTTAAAGTCTTCCCATCTAAGTGGGAAGTCTTTACTTTTTTAGAATGTTTATTTTTCTAGGTGATATGATTCATATGTTGGATTGTTAAAGTTTTACTAAACCCACAACAGTAAAAATCAGTCTGTATTTGCAGTAAAGCATGCTTGTTATACTCACTGTGGAACCTAAGGGGTTAATCCTCTGCGTTGTGTAAAAAGGCTGTTTGATCCTGTCTGCCCTGTTCCTCCCCTCTTTCTATTGTCCCCAATCCATCTGTTGATAGCACACAAAGCCTTGAAGGCAAGCTGCACATTCTCAGTTTAGTGTGCATTGCTAGAGAGTTTGGGGGGGCGCGGAGAATGCATGTGATCAGCACAGGGCCAATCAGCGCTGTCTAGAGAGAGGGTCAGGGGTCATGCAGCCTTATAGGACAGTCAGAGGAGAATGAAAACTTCTACAAGCTTTAACCAGTGCTCTGCTGCACACTGATATAAGTCACAAGACTGCTTTAACTCTGATGAGAAAAGGTATTTAGCAGTTTATATTTACTAAAATAATTGCACTTCCATGTTCTGTGTACTGTGGGAGACCGGATATAGTGAACGCAGTGTCCGGGGAGACCGGATATAGTGAATGCAGGGTCTGGGGAGACTGGATATAGTACATGCAGGGTCCGGGGAGACCGGATATAGTGAATGCAGGGTCTGGGGAGACCGGATATAGTGAATGCAGGGTCCGGGGAGACCGGATATAGTTAATGCAGGGTCTGGGGAGACCGGATATAGTGAAATGCAGGGTCCGGGGAGACCGGATATAGTGAATTCAGGGTCCGGGGAGACCAGATATAGTGAATGCAGAGTCCGGGGAGACCAGATATAGTGAATGCAGGGTTCAGGGAGACCAGATATAGTGAATGTAGGGTCCGGGGAGACCAGATATAGTGAATGCATGGTCCGGGGAGACCAGATATAGTGAATGCAGGGTCCTGGGTTTAGTAACACTTTAAAATCTGTAGCAATCACTTTCACAAAACCTGTTATACTTTAATAATGAAGGTTAGCTGCTGTACTACATTGCAGCAGTTTAGTGAAGTCATACTAATTCACAAATTATCTTCAGAAGGTGATTTTTGATTGGTTAATTACTAATGTATTACTGTTGTTTTGTTTCCAATGGTAGAGCTGTATAGCTAAACTTAGGTTAATGTTTTGAAACTATGTAGTAACTAGAGGATATTTATGTACAGACCTATGAAAAGCAAATATACTGTATGTACTGGAACTAATTTCAGTGAAATGCCACGCAATGATATTTCACAAATTTCTATTGGTCGCCACACAGTGCTAGGCGGTGGATTGCTTTGCACTGTACTGGAAAAAGTATGGCCTTTTTTTCAGCACACACCACTGAAACATGATTGTGTGAATCAATCACATAGGCATTTTGTGGGACTGCGGTGGAATAGCCCCCGCGAAGATTGCAGCGATTACTGTAGTAGCACCGACTACTAGAGTGATTGTCAGTTTCCACAACGGTATGAAGTTTTCATACTTATGCTGCACCCTCTGTGTACAGTGTAGGAAAAATTTAGTTGGGCTCCTCTGTAGGCAGAAGAGCTGGAGTTAATTTTTTTTAGAGTTAGTTGGCAGAGCTCCAAGGGTTGAGTCTCTGTTGCCTCCCCCTGGCTTCTGGAAATGCTGGAGGTTTCTAGAACATAGAGGAGCAGAGATGAGGCCTGAAAATTTAATGAGTCTCCTCCAATCCCTGGGTGGGATGGCCCAGAAGGAGGGCCATAAATATTCTGGAGCCTGGCCATGTGGGAGCAGAGTCCAGGGTCTAGTTGCCTGGAGGGGACCTTTATGTTGAGGGATCTGCCCCTGGGCAGGAGCCAGAGAGAGAGGGAGAGGCAGCGGAGGCCTCATACCTTTCCAGCCTCAGCTAGGCTTAGTCATCCGGGAAGCCATTGGGACCTGTCTAGTAGGAGGCCTGTTCAACAGTCACGTGTGCTTCAGGATACACTAAAGGGACTGAGTGAGTAGCTTCAACCGCTACACCCCAGAGCCTGTTAGAGGAGAAGCAGCAAGGTGCAATGCCCAGCTTGCTTACGGAAAAAAGACAGCTTAGAAACACCTAAAGCCAGTACAGCTACGCTCAGGGGCGTACTGACCATTTGGAAACTCGGGCACTGCCCGAGGGCCCGTGGGCCCCATGAGATGCCCCTGGCACCTTTTCCATAGGCTTTTTTTTTAAGTTTGGGCAAGGACACAGGGGCCCCATGATCCCCTATTGCCCGGGGGCCCCATGAGTTGTCAGTCCGCCCCTGACTATGCTACACCTCTTGCTCGGGGAATCTAAGGAGCAGCCAGGTGCCTTGGTATTTTCTATAGAAAGAAAACACTTGCATCCACTGTTTGCAAACCTTCATTACCTGTTGAACTACTCTGGTTATCCTACAGGAGGACAACCTAGTGATTTTCTGGTAGCCAGAGACATTTTCCTCAAGTTGCTTTCAAGTACAGTTGTGGGTATCCCATACTTTCCCATCCCTATCCAAGTTTATTCTCTAATAAACCAAAAACAAAACACAGCACCCTAGACTGGTTTTTGACTACTGAGTGAATTCCTGTTTCCTGGCTGTGCATGTGAGGGAGACTCAATAATCCAGTGGCCCTTATGGGGGTTAGCGCTACACTTACATTGTAGTGTATGTAACGATAGTATGATATTGAGAACATACTTGGAGTTCAGCTTTAACATTAGGGGGTTGCTAAGGTCAATTCACACTGGGCGTAGACATACGTCTCCCATGCAGGGCCATCTTTTACTGGTACGGGGATGCACATTGGCCAGAACCAGTGTGTCATTAGCTGTAAATCAGCACTCTTCTATAGGGAGCCCATAGCTGGCCATACACAGATCATAATTTGGCTTATTCAGCAGAACAGTCCCAGCTCAACAGTCAAATGTTTGATCAAATACTGTTGAAGGGATACATTCAAAATTATTATTATTATTATACAGGATTTATATAGCGCCAACAGTTTGCGCAGCGCTTTACAAAATGAAGGCAGACGTTACAGTTACAATACAATTTGGTAAAAGAGGAAACATAGGGTCCTGCTCATTGGAGCTTACAATCTAAGAATGTTTTTATTGATCAGCAGCTGCAGCCAGTGTATTCTGGCAGCAGCGGTGCCACCTTCAGATACAATGTCCTGGCAAGAGGGATTCCTCCATCAGCCTTGTTTGTGTGGATGGAGGAATCTATTTGTTTTTTTTCATTCTCCACTGTATGTATGTATAGTACAGAGTATGACCAGCTTATATCTCTTTGGGAGCTACCACACCAGTGATTTGTGACCTACACAGGGCTTTCCTTTGCTTCTGGCAAACGTGAGTATAATGCAGGCCATACATGGGTCGAATTCCGAACTAATTTTCTGTAAAAAATCGAAATTTTCGTGTGTTTTGTAATCAGATGCTGCCACCATTGATTTTGAAATTCAACCAACCAAGCCTTCAATTTCACCTCATGTTACTACAGAAAATTTTCATGGCCAAGCAATTTTCTTTTCTTTCCAGGCCACAGTTCAGGCTTATTTCTTTTTCATTTATGTTTCTCGCACGATTCTCCCATCATTGATTCGAAATTTGTTAGTTTTTCCAAAAGTTTCCAACATGCTGGATCACTCATATTCGATAGCTATACGAAAATCTGCAGTTTCTGTGGCCCACTAATGTTGCAAAATTCAAACGAAAATGCTTTCGGAATTCGACCCATGTATGGCCGGCTTAAGGGGTACATTAAAGTACATTGTCCTGCTTGGGCAAAGCACAGATTCATTTTAACCACTTGCCTACCAGGCACATTTACCCCCTTCCTGCCCAGGCCAATGACAATTGTGCGGTCATGCAACATTGTACCCATATGAATTTTTTATAAATTTTTTCAAACACATAGAGCTTTTTTTTGGTGGTATTTAATAATCGCTGGATGTTTTATTTTTTGCACTGTAAATGAAAAAAGAACAAAAAAGTTAGAAAAAAACAAAAAACGTTTTTCTTTGTTTGTATTATAAAATTTTGCAAACAGGTATTTTTTCTCCTTCACTGATGTGTGTTGATGAGGCAGCATTAATGGGCACAGAAAGGCAGCACAGATAGGCAGCACAGATAGGCTGCACTGGTGGCACTGATGAGGCGGCACTGGTGGGCATTGATGAGGAGGCACTGATGATGCTGCACTGATATGCAGCAATTATGGTCACTGATAGGCTGCACTGATAGGAGGCACTGATGGGCGACACTGACAGCACTGACTGTGGGCACTGATGGGTGCAACTGCTGGGGCCACTTATAGGTGGCACTGCTAGGCACTTATGGGCGACAATGCTGGGCACTGATGGGAGGCACTGCTGGGTACTGTGGAGGCAAAGCTGGGCACTGATGGGAGGCACTGCTGGGCACTGGTGGGTGGGACTGCAGGGCACTGATCATCAGTGCATAGAGCAGGTAAGTATAACATGTTATAACTTATGATTAAAAAAAGAAAATTAGACTTTACAACCCTCTTTAAGAAAGAAAAATATACAGGGACAGCCATCTTAGTTCCATTTAGAGATTACAGTTTACAGCTACAATTTATTTTGCCTTCTGGTTCAATCAATACTGCATTTTGAGCTACGTAGCTGAATTGAGAAAACTGGTCTCAGCAAATGTCAAAATGTGCTTTGTTATACGCTTTATTTATTTCATACTTCAGCTGTCTCCTTTTGTTTCACAGTGACAGATCGAATCTAATTCAATTTGGTGAACAGCGGTGGTTATTATATTGTTTACTGTAGCCCTGAAGTGAGAGCGTGCTCCATGTTTGTAAAGGGTAGCACTGAAGATTGTACCAGTAGATGCAGATGTTTATTTAAATGGGTGCTCAGATATCATAATTTGCTCTAAATGTCAAAGTGATATTAATCCCCCTTTTTTAAGCAGTTTGAGCAGCTGATTTAATCACTTACTCAATATGCAACTTCTTTATTTTTTAATCCTTGCCTATGCTCTAGTTTAAGCAGGTGTCATGATCAGTGCCCCAGGTTTCCTGTTTCAGGGTAGCTCCTTTCTCTTTTAGCTTCCTATGGAGCCACACTTGTATGCAGGGAGTAGAGTTGCATCTCTCTATACTGTGTGCATCAATAGAAACGCACAGACCCATAGCCTAGGGTGACCAGACACTGCCCTACACCCCCCTCCTCCTCCCTCCTAACAGACTTGGTGGTAGGTACCAAGTGATGCGGTAGCTATAATATACACTTGGTCCAGGTGGAATTGAGAGAACTTGTATTAAAGCAGAGACAAAACAGTTCACAACTGGCCCGGTGGATGGAAGCCCAACCAGGAACACTTAAAGATGACAACAGCGTGCAAAAAAATAGGTCTTAGCCTCGCTGACAGCGTCTGTCTGGAAGTGCGGAAACCAAATGAAGAGGTTTCCAGGAAGAGAAGCTGATGCCTATGCTTTCCCTACTCATCTGGAACCTTTCCCTGCCTGACAGACCAGTGACCTGTCCCTACACTATCCACATGAAAAAAGCGCCAAACCCAGGAGCCAGGGTCTTAGATATACTCTGTCTGACTCAAGATGGAAGCCAGAGTCACATGGGCTGTCAGCATCCAACCGGACTGCTGCCACACTGACCCAGGAAACCATAGATGAACCATGTTCCTCCTGACTTCCTCTCCCTCTGCACTGCTGCTGCGGTTGAGCGCCACCTACAGTGGAGGAAATAGATTACATCTGCCTACACTCCACCCCTCTTTAACAGATGCTGTCCTCAGCATGAAAAACACAGGAAAACAACAGCATAAATAACAACAAACAGTATAAAGGCATGACAACAAAATTCAAACTACATAGTCAGAATACTTTACAGGAAGATGCCCGAGGTTGGACCACAAAGGGCAGCGAGACTCAGTGTCCACTGTGGAATCATGTTCCATATTGAAGTTCCGAGGGCCACAGGAGGATGAGGGCTATCTGCATCCCCCATACCCTCTTCACTTGGACCCAAAACTGATTCCACAGACAAATCTGGACAGTCTTTGGTACTCTCTGGTGTAGCTGGACTGTCGAAGCATATTGTGTTGGACTTTCTGTCTCTGGATTATCAGGAGCTGGAGGCTGTAGCATGAGAGGGGCAGGTACCATTCCTCAGGCACTTCCTGTACTGGTGGAATATTTGCAGAGTTGAGTAGCTCTTTGTCTTCTGCTGGTTTAGTAGAGCAATCGCCACTCAGCACACAAGGTCTCAGCAAGTTACAGTGTAGACATCTCTTAATGGAATTAGGCCTTTTTCCAAGACTAGAGTTAGAGGGAAAGGCTGCTTTTCCACCCCATAAGGGGTACATTCTCATATGAGTTCCAGTTTTCTGTCTTTTTCACCAACACTAGTCCCCCTGTGGCAATGGCAATTCTGCAGAACTAAGTCTGTGGCCAAATCTTTGTGTCTATCCAGTACCACTTGCTTGGCTTTCCAAATTCGGTCACAGCGTTTGTGTACCCAGCTGCTAGGCATTTGGGGTTGAGAGTTCTTCAGAGAGTCCATCAGAAAGTCCAGCAGCAATCTCCTGTAGCGCCCAAACATAAGGAAGAGGGGCATGTGCCTTGTACGACAGTAGACCACATTATTGTAGGCCCACACTTTGGCCAGTACATGCTGATGACAGTGATCATGGTGTCCGTGCTAGAAGGTCCTCAGCATATCCATAAGAGTGCATCTGAACCGCTCACAGGCCTAATTACCCTGGGGGTGATAGAAAGTGGTGTGAAAGTTCTGATGTCACTGAAACTACACAGTTCAGAGAAGATAACCAATTCGAAATTGGTTCATAAGGATCCTTTTTGGCAGCCGTAAGATTGTACTACATGCACCCAGAATAGCTTAGCTGTTGTTGGAGCTGTCTGATCCTTGGTTGCGACCACTTTTTCAAACTTGGCAAAGTGGACAACAAAAAGCAGGGTGTAGCAATACTTTGAGGATGTGCTAAATATCATCAGGAAGTGCATGGTGACCAGTTCAAAAGGCTCCGATGTAGTAATGTACATGAGTGTGGTTTTTTCAGGAGAGGCCTTGTGTACGGAGCAAGCCTCACATTCCCAGCAAGCCTACTGGACCAAGTCTGCCAGCCATGGGCAGAAAAAGTACCACCTAACTAAGGACTCAGTCCGATCAGCTCCGCTGAAGAATGTGCGTCTGGGGGACCACAGCCTGTAATATGCCCCACTGTTCAATATGTATGTGTTCCTGGTGGAATAGGACATTCTCACGTCTCAAACCAATCCCACTGCCTCAGGATCACTCGGGTTGTATTTGACGGTTTTTGCAATCATATGCGGACAACTTATGCGGTAGCAAGAGGAAGCATTGCACCTGCATGAGTTCAGGATCCTTTTGTTGATTCAGTGCCCACTCCTCTCTGGTATAGATTTTATCAGGTGCAACTTGGAGGGCTGAGCCCTGCTCTTTGAGAGAGCGCAGGGAGGCTGCCACAGGCAAGACTGGGGCTACTTCTATGTCCATATCTCCTCCCGGGCACTCCACCAGATAAGGGGGCAGAGTGTCCGCATTCCTGTTGAGCTATCTGGGCTTGTAATAGATTTGGTACTTGCAATGTGTGAGGCAGGAAACCCACCTCTGCTCCAGCACCCCTAACTTTACCATATCCAAGTGGGCCAGTGGGTTGTTATTCATGAAGACCTTTATTTCTGCTCCGGTGAGGTACTTTGGGAATTTCTGGGTGAGGGTCCACACCAGGGCCAGCAACTCCAGTTTAAAGGAGCTGTAGTTGTAAGTGTTCTTCTCAGTAGGCCTCAAGCTGCAACTGGCAATGACCTGTTCACATCCATTCTGAACTTGAGCCAGTACAGCTCCCAGGCCTTGCAAACACCTGTGGTTAGTTTCTCTTTTAATGTTTCAAATGCCTATTGGTGGAGATCACACCACTGGGCCTAAATAAAGGGTGATGGGCTGTTCTTCTTTTGGGTTGCATGGCCACTCAGCAGTTGAGTAAGTGGAGCAACTCTTTGGGCAAACTTCGGGATGAACCGCTGATAGTACCCCACCAACCCCAGGAAGTTCAATAACAGTCTTTGGGGAATGCACGTCTTGAATAGTCTGGACCTTGGAGAGACCCCTCTGGCTTCCATGACATGACTGAGGTATTGGATCTTCTGTTTCATTAGGTGGCATTTACTGGGTTTGACTTTCAGTCCAGACCGTGCTAGGTGGCCAAACACTCGGTCCAAGTGTTGGATATGGTCCTCAAAAGCTTGGAGAAAATGATGATGTCATCCAGAAAAGCACAGTCTCGAAAATGATGTCTCTCAACCACCATTCCATTAAACACTGAAAAGGTCTGGGCGTAATGCTTAGCCAAAAGGGCATGCGATTAACTCAGTCTCAAGGATGCAATAAAGGCCATCTTTTCACGATCCTGATCTCTTACTGGGATTTTCCAGTAGCCGCTGGAATAGAAATGTATTTGACCTGCCCCAACGCCATTAGTGATTTCCCTACCCATGATAATGGGTAGTCATCCTGGTGGGTGCAACATGATGCAGTGACAATAATACACACTCAGTTCAGGTGCAATCAAGAGATCTTGTATTAAAGTAGAGACAAAACTGTTCACAACTGTCCCAGCAGAAGGAAGCCCAACCAGGAATACTCACAGATAACAACAGCGTGTAGCAGAGCAGGTCTCAGCTGAGCTGACAGAGTCTTTCTGGGCATTTTCCCATTTAAGGATAAAGGTTTTACAAACGTCCATGGATGTCATTCCAGAACATGCCCCCTGCACGCCCCCAGCGGCACGCATCCGGCGCCGTGATGATCGCCATGTCCTACGTTATATGGTAAATGGCCAATCACGCGGCCTTTTACCATGTGATCAGCGTGTCCAATGACACAGCAGATCACTGGGTAAATACAATTTCCTGTTATTGGCTGCACTTTCCTCACGCTGCCACAATGTGAGGAAAGTACTGCCGATAACCGGCAATTGTCAGTTAAGGGATCGTCACTGATCATCAGGACACTGATGATCAGTGCCACCCACCTGTGCCCAGCAGTGCCACCCACCTATGCCCTGCAGTGCCACCCAACAGTGCCACCCACCTGTGCCCAGCAGTGCCACCCACCT